AAACTGCCCACTCTCCGCTCTGAACTGCCCACAAGGGAAGGTGCAGCAGAAGGATTGTCACTTCCTAGGAATAAGCTACTCTAACATGACAATATGAAATAACTAGATAAGGTCCTAAAGAGCAAAGATATACAACTAAGCACAAAAGTCAGAATTGTATAAACAATTGTATTCCCCATTACCATGTATGGATGCAAGAGCTAGACAATTAAGAAAATGGATAAAAAGAAAATACAATTATTTGAGATGCAATGCTGGAGAAGAGTGCGGAGGATACTGTGGACAACCAAAAACAACAACAGCACACAAATAAATGGATCTTAGAACAGATAATACTAGCAGAAAACCTCACAGACCTGGATCACCTACTAAGGAAGATCAAAGAAGAAAGTGCAAAGGCAGACTTACTGTTGAACATAAAGAAAACAAAAATAATGACGACAGAGAACTTATACACATTCAACCTAGACAATGAGGAAATAGAAATAGTAAAAGAGTTCTCATATTTGGGATCAAACATTGATCAGAATGGGGACAGCAGCCAGGAATCAGGAGAAGATTAAGAATAGGGAGGGTGGCTATGAAAGAACTAGAAAAGATCCTAAAATGCAAAGAGACAACTCAGCATAAAAGTCAAAATCATACAAGCCATTGTATTCCCTATTACCATGTATGAATGTGAGAGCTGGACAGTTAAGAAAGAAGATAGGAGGAAAATCAATGCATATGAGATAATGTGGTGCTGGAGAAGAGCTCTGAGGGTCTCATGGACAGCCAAAAGGACAAACAAGTGGGTCCTAGAGTAAATCAAGCTGGAAACCTCCCTGGAAGCCAAAGAGGACCAAACTGAGACTGTCATACTTTGGACACATCATGAGAAGAGAGGACTCATTGGAAAGACAATAATGCTGGGAAAGGTGAAAGGAAGTAGGAAGAGAGGAAGGCCACATGCCAGAGGGATGGACTCTATCAAGGAGGTCACTGTGGGTATGAAGGGGTTGCAGGAATTAAGCAGAGCAGTGGAGGACAGAGGGTCTTGGAGATGTCTCATCCATAGGGTCACCATGGGTCGAGATTGACTCGAGGGCAGTTAACAACAACAAAGAACAGATAAGGCCTGAAATCTCTCTGGAAGCTAAGATGATTAAACTGAGGCTATCATACTTTGGCCACATCATGAAAAGGCACAGGTCACTAGAAAATACAATACTAGGAAAGGTGGAGGGACAGAGAAAGAGAGGAAGACCACATGCTAGATGGAAGGACTCCATAAAGGAGGTCATGGGAATGAATCTGCAAGTTTAAAAAAATGGAAGATAGGGAGTCTTGGCAATGCCTCATCCACAATCACCAGGCTGGTTGACAAACAAAACATGAAAATGATAAGGCATACCAAGATTGCTCCTTCTTGGAAGCACTACAAAGTTGAAAAGTGTTAAAATGGCACACTCCATTAAAAACAACAGCAGCAAAAGCCAACATCATTATTGGATAGGAAAATAAGAAAGGTTGTTGGTTAATATGGATATGCATGCTAGGAAGGGGGGGGAGGGAATTGCTGCAGTCATGTGATCCCAAATAATCTGATCAATCAAACAAGTGGACAATGATAGAAATGCCCTTTTACACTGATGTGACTTGGTTAGGGAAAATGTGTGTATCTGAAATCAATTTGAATTTAGATTAAAATGGGTGAGTATGGAGCTAGTGGGGACAAAACCAGGGCAGGATATTGCACACTGGAGATGAATTATTTTGCAGGTGTGGATTTGGCTTGAGTGACCTTGGGCAAGTCACACTCTCTCAATCTCAGGAAAGCAAAGGCAAAGCCCTTCTGAACAAATCTTGGCAAGTAAACCCCATGATAGGTTTGCCTTAGGGTCACCATAAGTTGGGAATGACTTAAAGGCACACAACTACAACAACAGCCGATAGACAGTTACATTATAAGTCTAAACTTATCTTTTATCTGTAGTATCTGTCAATTTTTATTATATTGCTGCTGTTTTGAAATTTTTACTGCATTGTTATATTGATTTTAACTTCTCTTAGCTGCCCTGAGCAGTGTGTAAGCCCCAGAAGAGTAGGATATCATTTAAAAAATATAACTGTATAAAAAATCAACAACAAACAGTGTGCACATGTGTGTGAGTGTATGAGATTCTGACCACAGGTCTCCTGAATTACCTTGGCATTTCTCTTGCCATTTGTGCCTCCTTAGACAAAACCGTGATGTTCTGGGCCGTGGAAGAAAAGGACCGACTGCAAGGAGAGAGAACCGAAACTTCTCACCGAGTCCCACCGGCTTCAGCCATCACAGTGGAAGCCACAGGCTATGCCCTCCTCTACTTGGTGAAACAAAACGATGTTGCAAGGGCTAGCAAGGTGGCTCGGTGGCTGACGGAGCAGAGGAACTACGGGGGAGGCTTCAGATCAACCCAGGTACCCTCGGATATAACTTGAGATTTCCATTTGGAAAATAGGCAATTAAAAGGTGAAAAGCCAAAAGCCAGCATGGTCTAGTGGTTTGAACATTGGACTACAACTCTGAATACCAAGGTTCGAATCATCCCTCATTCCTGGAAACCTACTAGGTGATCTTGGGCAAGTTACACACACTCAGCCTCAGAGGAAAGCAAAGGCTCTGAACAAATCTTGCCAAGAAAACCCTTATAGGGTCACCTTAGGGTTGCCATCAGTGAGAAATGACTTGAAGGAACACAACAACAGCACCACACTGGAAAGGTACCTGGATAAGGGAGCTGAGTAAGAAAGTTAAAAATGAGAACCAGGATTCTTGAGGTGCGTTATGCTCAGGTAAATAGTAGTGATGCCAGAGTAAAGGGAAAGATAAAGGTAGTCCCTTGACGTGAATGTCTAGTCGTAATTGACTGTAGGGTGTAGTGCTCGTCTCCGTTAAAGCCAAAGAGCCAGCGTTGTCTGAGGACTGCTCTGTTGCAGTGTGACCAGCATGACTGCACAGAATGCTGTTACCTTCCCACCAAAGTGGTACCTATCTATCTACTTGCCTTTGCATGCTTTCGAACTGCTAGGTTGGCAGAAGCTGGGACTAATGATGGGAGCTCACCCCATCATGTAGCACCTGGGCCTCGAACTGCCAGTGTAAAGGAGTGTAAAACTCATAAAGCAGCATTATCAGGAGTTGCTTAGGCATCTTGCCTGTCATGATATGTTTAGTAGTCGAAGTGATGGGTTATTTAATAGTTTAGCATTATAAAGCAGTGGTGATCTCATTTGCAGGCGGTGAGATGACAACGGAAAGGAGAATAGCTTCTGGCAGAAATGTTCAAGATTGTTCCATTGTGAGAATGGATCAGCAACAAGAGTGTAAAGGGGCAGTGTGGGAATTAAAGCAGAAAAATTGTTAATTAATTGTGAATGAATGAGAAATAATCTGGCCATGATTTTGAAATTGTATATGGTTTAATTAGTCTGAATGTAAACAGTTGCTGGTCTGCATCCAGGAGTAGCCGTGTTGGCCATATAACAATTCCAGTAACAATAA